TATCTTTTAGAAAAACATCCAATCTTGATTTAAAAATTGTCAGTGATGGAGAAACCATCACAGCCCTTGGTAAATTCTTTCAGTGGTTACTCTGTTAAAAATTTACACCTTATTTCTAATGTGAATTTGTCGCTAGCTTCAACTTCCAGTCACTGGATTGTGTTATATCTTTTTCTGCTAGATTGAAGAGCCCATTATTAAACGTTTGTTCCCTGTGTAGATTCTTATATACTGTAATTAAGTCACCCCTTAACCTTCTCTTTGTTAAACTAAATAGAATGAGCTTCTTGTGCTTAATCCATGTTGATTGCAGAATTTTGATGCACTCTCCACAGGCTTTATGAGAAGCTATAAAAATCAGTTCACAATAACCAGTGATAACACAGACAACCATTTTGCCAAGGGAGAGCAAGTTTGGATTCTCCTTAATTAACTCAAACTCTTGGGACTAGATCAGTTTTGGATTATTTCACATTATTTCTTTAAATGTTTGAATTCAGAGTTCCAAAGAAACACACACTTCTTATAAGCAGAAATCCACTTTGAACTAAATGAATGAATACCACATTTCTATATTTTTCTGTACATAACTGCATATTCCCCTTAAAAAGAAAAAGTTACACAGCCTTTACAAACTGGGTACATGAGAAACAAAGAGTACAATACAATTCAAAGACACCAGGAAAAGAAACAATGGTTCAACCATGTATAAAAGTTGCAAAACGGTCATGCAGTATAACTTAGGGCTTGTCAAACCTACAATGCTATAGTGGCACAGCTGTGCTGCTGCACCACTGCACTGTTTCAGTGTAGAAACTACCTACACCGATGGGAGGGATTCTCCTGTCGGTATAGGTCATCCATCTCCCCGAGAGGCAGTAGCTATGTTGACAGAAGAATTCCTCTGTCGACCTAGTGCGGTCTACTCTACACCAGCGTGTAGATGCACCAGCAAGCAGTGTGTGGATTTTTCGTGCTCCTGAGAGATGTAGCTATATCGATGTAGACCAGGCCTGACTGTAGATCAGTTTGGCAGCAGCCATCCTCATATAACAAGGCATGATGAACATTTAAAAAAAAAATCAAGTCTAATCATATAAATTGTGAACGTGCCATGAAGATTTCATGAGCTATCCAGACATTCAACCATACTAATGTTACTTCTACTTATTCATACCATATGGGTTTCTGCAAGAGCTTTTTTGTGTTTAGTCAGAAGCAGGGTTACATCATTTTGTCAGTTTCATCACTTTATAGCTCAATATATTCACACGTCCACTTATAATCCAAATAAATGACAATATAGTATTTAGTAATTCCATGTAGATAAAGGAAAACTGCTGTGTTTCATTTTAATACCTTAGGGTTACATTTTCCTTTACAATGCATATTACTGGCTATTCCACTCCCCCGGCATGTGTCAAAATCCCTCAGTGAGTTCATCAGGAGTTTCAACAACACAGGAAGAGTCGAACAGATACCAGGAAAAGCACTGCATGCATTAAAGAAGGAATTTAGCTCTTAGATTGTTAAGGAGGAAGTCTGGATGGTTCACATTAAGGGGATGTGGAGCTTTTTGACTCCAGAACAATCTGTATCCAGTCCTAATCTGTAGTGACTCATAGTTACAACCCTCTTAATGGCCTATAAGAAGCTAGTTCATTCCAGTTTTTAGTGGACCTATATCCATATTAGAATACACACGTAAAAGCCATAAACCTCACACCATTACCCTAATAAGCACTCTTAGTAACAATCTCAGCACAGAGACCAAGGACTGAGTAAGCATAAAACTGAACTAACTTTTGCCGCTGACCCTCTAGGTCAGGGCTAACCAGTTGGGGCAGTCATGCTTCTACTGCTGGACCTGCAGAAAACCTATGGCTATCAATCCAAAATCTGTCTGAAATCTGACAATCATGATTTTCAAAATGGTTTCTACAAATACACGTTACTGTCTGGTATCTCTGCAACAGTGAATGCTGGTCCTGTCTCAGGGCTTGTCTACACTTAAAATGCTACAGTGGCTCAGCTGTACCACGGTAGTGTTTCAGCATAGACACTACCTATGCCGGTGGGAGGATTTCTCGCGTTGGCACAGGTAATCTACCTCCCCGAAAGGCAACCTACCATGGTCTACACAGGGACTTAGAATGGCTTAACAATGCCACTAGGGGTATGGATTTTTCACATCCCTGACAGACAGTTAAACCGACCTAATTTTCTAGACCAGGCCTCGCACTCCACTACCATTTTACTGCTTTTCCCAGCAGCAAACTAGTCTGCAGTGCTAACAGTTTTGGATGAAATGCTTCTCAGCATTTGAGAATGAATAAGAAAGAGCTGAAGCTTCATCTACTTTAAGTTAAGTTCTAGAAAGATTTGCAGAGAAAATAGATACTGTTCGTGTTATGCCCTATTAAAATAGAATTTGCCCTAGAACAGCTTTGAAAAATTTCCTGCTTCTCCTGTGCATATTCAGCAGCTGAATATTTCCTTAGTCATAGAGCAAATATAACTCCCTGGTTCATTAGCCATTTTTATTTTATTCGTTTTTTTTTTCAAATCCGTTTACATTTTTCATAATATAAATCATAAATATTAAAATAAAGTAGCTTGTCTTCTTTATAAGCAAGTTCAGCAAATCCTATCTTTTACCAGCTTCATTTGTTAAGTCTTAAAATGCTTTCCAATTCTGGGGCAGCTTAAAGTTTTGGGAGCCTTTATACAACTATCCAAAAAACACCTCATAAGAAGTGTAATGTCCCTTTAAAAGAGTTATTTGTATTACAGCATGATTATGTCACTGTCTGTTTTGTGGATAATTTATTATTTCACTTTATAAATGCAAGTGTTATTGTAATTGTTTTCCTCTGTTCCTCCCCTCCCAAATCTCCACATATCAGAACACTACACAACGTAATCTTTTGCACTTTAAAAATCCAACATCTTGCTTGGAAACAGCTTTGAAAAGTTGGCATCTGGCCAACTTGCAACTGATACTAGTTTAAATACCTTCCCAGCAAAGTTGCACATTAACTTCAAAATACTCTGGGATCAGCCATTAAAATGTTTTTGTTTCAGTTACAACACTAATGAAAACCAAATGTCTGAATATATTTTAAGCTGGTCTAATGCACTAGGGATTTCACTTAAAAGAGAAAGGTCTGAATCAACTTCCATTTACCCAAATGAACACAGATTAGTCAGTACTACACTATGCAGATATATGGCCAACACTTGGAGTAAGATTAAATAATTATAAAGAACATTTCAACCACAGATTAAATGAAGAAAGTCTGAGTAATTGGCTGAATTTGATTCTTCTCCTAAATCTTTTAGTTACAGTCTGCTAAAGCTATTGAGCTGCAAGCTTACAAAATCCCATTTACAGGTGGATTCAGGACCCTAAACCTCTGCTTTGCTAATGTCTAAGCCAGTGGTTCCCAAACTTGTTCCGCCGCTTGTGCAGGGAAAGCCCCTGGTGGACCGGGCCAGTTTGTTTACCTGCCATGTCGCAGATTCAGCCAATCGCGGCTCCCAGTGGCCGCGGTTCACTGCTCCAGGCCAGTGGGAGCTGCTGGAAGCGGTGTGGGCCGAGGGACATACTGGTCGCCGCTTCCAGCAGCTCCCACTGGCCTGGAGCAGTGAACCGCGGCCACTGGGAGCCGCGATCGGCCGAACCTGTGGACGTAGCAGGTAAACAAACTGGCCCGGTCCGCCAGGGGCTTTCCCTGCACAAGCAGTGGAACAAGTTTGGGAACCACTGGTCTAAGCCTTTGCAAAATACATATTTTCACCTATCCAGGTAAGGCACATCTACTGATCTTGCTCTGTAAATTTAAGCAAACCCTAAATATTTGCTTTCACAACAAAGACCTAACAGCTTTGAAGGAACCTATACATTCTACCAGAAAAAAAAAATGGTTTAAGCCGACCTCTTTATAGGAATGATTTTAAATACTTGATTTTAAGAAGTCCGACAGCGAGGACAACCATAAAATTAGGATGTACCCCTAAAAGAGTGATTTTATGTACTGGATTATGAACCAGTAAAAGGAAAAGAAACAATTTTAACTTTAGGATTCTGGACTTGTGAGTTTCTACCAGAACTTCTTCAAAATAATTATTTTGACAAGTTCCTATTAAGTGTTTAAAGGGTAGAGGGTAGTCTTGTGGTTAAGGCATAGGACTGGATTTAGGAGATTCATTTCCTTGCTTTGCCAGTGACTTCCTGATGACCTTGGCATATCACTTTATATCCAAAACTCAGTACTCTGTGTGTAAAATAAAGTTAATTCTTCCCTACTTCAGAAAGGTTTTATGAGGATTAATGTTTAAGAATCTCAGATATCATGGTGAAGAGGGCTTCGTAAACAGATTACCCAATTTACTTAAGGCCATACCCATATTTCTGAATATCAGTCCTCTCAGGCTACAGCAGAATTTCTCATCGTTGTCCAAATTACTTCCAATCTAATTCTACCTTTGAATTTTTACTTTAAATTAATGTATTTGTTGCATTCATTTCTTCAAGGTCATTCCCCGCAGCCAAAAGAGAACTCTTTAATCCCCCCAAAAGAGAACAGTTTAATTGTCCAGTGATTGTTATTATTGCAGTCTTGTGGCTAATTAAAGAGAGCATTAGACTGAGAATACAGAGTTAGCTTCTAGCATGTTCATCATATTTTGATGTGCCACACCTTTATCGAAGCCTCAAGAGTTACCAGGTTTGAAGAGACATTTTAAATAACAATGAAATTAAACATAAGCTATAGGAATAAAGAAGAAAAATTCAGTCCTGAGTAACACTACAGTAGGTCACATGCATAAAAGAATTCTCTTTCTTTCTTTCTATAGCAAAATGAACCGCTCTGTCGTTGAAACTAATTAAAAAACCCAGACCTTTAAAAAGTCAACTAATTAATGAAGAGCTACATTTCCATTAACTTTTTAAAAAATAGTCAAGTAATTTAAAAAAGAAGAGTACTTCTCACCATTGTATCAATGCATCTCCAAAAGTCAACCTAAAAATTGCATTCCGTAAACAATGAATACTTTGTGTAGGAGATTTAGCACAAACTATGAAATGCAAGTTACAAAATAGCTTTTTTAGCCAAGAATCAAGACAACCTGTTGACAATTTATTTCTTTAATAATTAAATTAGAAATTCTAACCTATTTCAAAGCAAGCTATAATGATAATTGGATATGAATCGTAAAGCAATTTTTTTCCCTGAAGAAATACATTGTAGAAAACCCTGCAGTAAATACTTTACACTTCTCTGAAAGAACCAAAAACTCAGCACAAGCTATCCCAGGACTTATACCAATATCTAATTTTTCATGACATGCTCTGACAACTTTTCAGAGTAGCAGCCGTGTTAGTCTGTATCCGCAAAAAGAAGAACAGGAGGACTTGTGGCACCTTAGAGACTAACAAATTTATTAGAGCATAAGCTTTCGTGGACTACAGCCCACTTCTTCGGATGCAACTTTGTTGACTATGGTCCATATTTCAGAAGTTTAGTACATAGACCACCT